AATACAGCTACTGTGACATTCCCCTCTCTTTCATTGATGTCTCCTGTGGCATATTCATCCTGTGGGATTTGATACACATTGATTCAATCCATAACCTCAAGTTTCTTTTGTTTTTACTTTTGGATTAAGTGAATGTTTATCTTTGACCTTTTGTGGCCTTTCTTTTGGACCACATTCTGTTTCCTTCCCCTCCACCCCCCACAAAGTTCCCATCCTGACTTTTGCTCTTTGGTATTCCTTTTCGGTTCACAATACCTCCTATTTCTATCCCACAACATCATTTTCTTCCTTTCTTGTCAAATGCTTCTTATTGTATGCACAACTGGAACGTGCCTACTACAAGGAGCGATTTGCTGTATGTTTATTTTCTCTGGCATCATCTCTCCTTTATGGAAGTAGGGATACTTAACCGGCCTATGATAGAGCTCTTCCTGGTTTGGTTAGAGCATGCTGCAAACTGCCTGTGTTCGTGCAAGGCCCTGTAGTAATGCTTTTGTTGGCCAGGACACAAACCACACTCTAAAAGGTCTTCCTGAGTTCTGAAGGTCAAGCAATTAAAACTCTCCAAGGCCTTTAGGAGAAAGGAAGCAAGGCCTTTCTCAGGGGGCATCTGTTGGTGTTTACTGTCCTCACGAACAGGGGCACCCAGTTCTAGTACTGGCTGCTACCTCCTGCCAGAGTACCTGACCACTTGGAGCCTCAATTTCTTCATCTGTGACATGGATTTACAGCGGAGTCACCCTGATCTCGTGTGAACATTAAAATGAAACAATATGGTTGTTTGTGAACTGTCAAGTGCTGCATAAATAGGAGATGCTATTAATGCAAACTTTAGTAGGAACCCAGTGATAGGTATAAAACTGGGCTAGTTCTCTTTAACTGGCTTTGCACAGTGCCGTGTGCAGACAGGATGGGTTCAGGATACTTAATGAAGAGCCACACCTGGGATCTTCTTGAGTAAAGCATACAGAATCAGGTGCTCATGGCCACATGACCTACCAAGAAATGATTTCAGCTTGTGAACTTCAGTGGGAAAGGTTTCAGAAGTAGAATAAAGTAATCTATGTTCTTGCCTCTCAAAGAGCCTTCCCTTATTCTACCTTCACTGCCATCATTCCTGGATCCCTGTCCTTGCCCAGCCAGGCTGGAGGGGTCATCTGGAAACTCTATTACCCCATCTGGCTCATGTGATACAAGATTTTCTAGTGCTCACTACCAGCGCCATGCCCTCCCCCTGTTCAGTGGCTGCATAGGTTCAGATTTTCCACACCTGCAAAATGGGGATAGTTAAGTGCGCAGCACATGCCTAAACAGCGCGCAGAGGTGACTAACACTGCCTGGGGAAGCAGAGGCGACTTCCTAAAGAAGCTAATTTTAGACCTAAGTCCTAAAGGTAAAGGTGTTGTCACAAGGTAAAGGGTTGGGAAAGAACATTCATTCCCTGTCCCCTTGCCCCTCCTCCCCCACCAGAGGGAACAGCATGTGCCTTTGACAAAGGCATGAAAGAGCTTGCTGCTCTTGGGAACAGCAAGGTAGTTGCTCTTGGCAAGAGTTGGGGTGAGGGCTGCATGGCTGGGGAGGGGACACTCAAGTCCGGGCCATGCCACCCCACAAACCCTAACCACCCACTGTTCCCCACGAGGCTGTAGAGAGGCATTACTTTTCTGTCCCAGATGGAAGGGAATTTTGTTAGATGCCCTTTCAGTCAGTCTTTATTAGGCGTTAAAATAATTTTCAAAGTAAGCTCCTTCATCATTCTCCTGAGGGGTTAGGGACACCTTCATCTCCCCCATCTCTTTCAACCTCAGTATCTAGTGTGAGCTCTTCTTCAGTCTTTCTGGGGACAAAGGGCCTTTTATGCAAATAAGACAGGTGGCCTGCAGTGATAGCCCAGAGTTGCCAGGGTCAGTATTCAGGGTTTCAGTTCTGATATACTAGCAGTATGCTGGAGTCAACTACCTCTCCCTGCCTCAGTTTCCACATTGGTTAAAGGGCTTTTATGAGACTATAATCAGACTATATGTAGACTTCTCTGTCCCCAAGTTTTGATTCTTTCCTAGTGGTCCTGTAACTGAATGCAGGACTCGAGAGGCAGGTGCTGCTGTAAAGGAAAGTGATTTATCTGAACATGCCTGCCATCTGGAAGATAGGATCTCACATCTCAAAGCCCATCTCCCTTTCTCAGTTCAAGCAGAGGCGTTTATAAGGAGGGAGAGGGAGCAGAACATAGAGGTCAAGGGAGGGACTTGCAAAGTTCTCTGTGTGCAGACTAGCACAGTCCATACTGATAAGGCAAGTGATGGTTCTATGTGCATCATCCTGGTTTAGTCATCCTGTCTTCATGTCATCTTAGCTTTACGTCATCCTGGCTTCATGGTTGAAGGTCAGCAAATCTCCTGGAGCTGGGGTGCCTGAAGGTCGGAGCCTGTATCTTTTTAAGTTAGTTCCTAGGATTGTTATACAAACATGTTGTTGATCTACAAGCTCCATATTAGTCAGAGTCAGCTCTTACAGGAACTATGTCAAAAGAATGGTGGGGTGGGTTACAATTCCCCACTATTACAATTTTCCACTGTTAACAATCCCTCTCTTGGTGAAATGTGCCAATAGTCACCCAACTACTAAAATAAAGAAACTGAGCATCATTCTTACCTAATCCCTCCTGCTAATTCCCATTAGCAGGTTCTGTCCATTTTACCTCCCAAACGTACTTTTTCTCTGTCCACGTCCACGTCCTCAGTCCCAGCTGACACCACCTCTCATCTGACTCCTGGACTATTGCTGCAGACTCTCACCAGCTTTTCTTCCACGTACGACCTCCACGAGGTGGCCAGAGCAATCCTTTAAAAGTCTTAATCAGGCGGTAACAGGCTTCTGCTGAAAACTCGCCAGTGCTAGTTCATCTCCTTCATAGCAAACTTCAGAGTCTTTATCATGGCCTGCAAGGTGCCATACAAGTTGGCCTCTGCCTTCTTGTCCCCATCACTACTCGCCCTCTGTCCCTGCCAGTGTTTGGACAATTCCTAGAACATGCCAAGTGGCAAGCTCTCATGCCTTGAGAATTTTGTCCTTTCCATTTCCTTTGCCTGAAATACTCTTCCCCTGGCTTATCATATATCTGGTTCCTTCTTGGCTGAAATGTCCCCTCTTTGGGTGGCCTTTCCTGTCCTCCTTGTCTAAAGTAGATCTCACCATTGTTCTCTGTCACAATACTTTCCTCATAGACAGATCGCAGCTTATCATGACTTACTTACCACTCTCTTGAGTCAAGCCCTCTAGGAAGAGATCCTGAGACAAGGATCCAAGTGCAAGTGGTTTATTAAGGAAAAGCTCCCCGGGGAGATAGGTAAGGGAGAGGGGGAAGCAGGACGGTGGTGGGTAAGAAGGCAGATAAGGGTGAGATTTCAGGAAAAGCCCCAGCCTCAGTGACCTCAAAGGGGAGCTCTGCAGTATAAATTCTGCCTCTGAGTTACCCTTACCAGAAAGTAAATAAGCTGTGTGGTCATAGTCCCACACCAGTCAGTCATTGGCTAAGGGTCATTGCCAGGGGCAGGGGTCAACTTCCAAACACTTCCAATTTGAGGTGCTCAAGGGCAGGCTGCTGGAAAGTGGCAGGTGTGGGCAAGTGTGCTGGCTACACTTGCTTCTTAACTACATCCCTCACTAGAAAGGGAGCCCCACCCCATGCCCCAACCCTGGGCAGAAACCTTATCGTCTCATTCACTGTTAGATCCCTCATGTTATTTACTTCACACCTGCCATATTGCTCACAATCAATATATTTTCCGAATGAATGAATAAAGCCCCTAGTGCAGTGTGTGGCATATAGGGGAGGTTCAATGAATGTTATTGTTAACAACATGAGTCTTTTCCATAGTACTCTTAGGTTTCCAATCAGAAGAGAGGCATAAGTCTTCAGAAACATGGGCTATTAAGAAAGAGAAAAAGTCAGCTCTGGAAAGAGAAGACTAGCTCTGGAGAAGACATCTGAGCTATTAATAAATAGAAATTTTAAGTATAGTTGGAAGCAAGTAAGAGGGGTGAGGTGGGAAATGCATAGACCAGTCCTGCAGTTGGAGCAGGGAAAGTAGCTGCCAAACAATTGCCCAACTCAGGAAGTAACAGCTGCAGGCAGCACAGTATCTGATCTGTGCAAAAAGGCAGGGCTTCAAGGCTTCAGTGGAACAAACATTTGGTCCTGGCAGGGCATGGGAGCTTTGGGCACAGATAATAAGGCAAAAGTCCAGGCCCGTAGACAGTCTGTCAGGCAACTCAAAGGTCAAGGAGCACTGATACTTTCTGGTCACCCAAGTCATTGAAAGTTATCTGTCAGAATTCTTGGTTACAAGGAAGGGTTATCAACTCATCTCAGGACACCCTTCAGTCCTGGGAAAATTAGGACTCTTGGTTACCCTTTGGCAAAGAAGAGAAACTGTTACAGGTTGGGTTGCCTGGGGGTCAGGCTCCGAGACAGAGATCAGCTCAAAGTACTACCTTATCGGGAATGATCTTGGGATCACCACCTAAGGAAAGGAAGAGACAGAAGCAGGAGTGGGCAGAGGTAGAAGATGGGCTCTAATGTAGTCTCACTATAGGCCTCCGCTGACCCCACAGAAGGCTCTAAGGTTGGCATGGTCCTTCGGAGCTGCCCTGATTTTAGTGTTGTCAGATTTATACAGGATGACCAGTTAAATTTGAATTTCAGATAAACAGTGAATAATTTTTAACATAAATATGTCTCCTGTAACACTTGCAACATACTTATATTGAAAAAAGTTTTTCATTTTTTTATCTGAAATTATCTGAGCATTGTTTATTTTATCTGGCAGCCAGGTGGGGTAAGGGGCCAGATCATCTACCCTATGTTGACCAGTCTCTGGACGCAGGCCATCCCAGTAATGATCTTGGGGAACGAGACTCTCTTCAGCTGAGGCAATTCTGCAGAGGGCTGTCAGCTGAAGCTTGCCTGCCAGCAGCCCACTCAACAGCTGAGACAATAAATCCATCAGACTTGAGAGAGAATGTGGAGAGCTCATCACAGTGTCTACTACAGAAACAGACTCTTTATAACTTATTTATTGGAATGTACTGGAAGGATATTGTGTTCACAGAACCTACGGGAAAGCTGGGAATCAGGTTCAGAAAACAGACATGAGAGCTGGGAAAACCATGCCCAGGTCACACCGCAGGAACAGTCTGAGTTGTTGCTGTGGGGACCACAACCTTTTCACTGTCCAAAGTACTCCCAGCCCTGCTGCCGCCACATCAGCTAATGCCCCTGAACTCTTGTGTCAGTCCTTCGAGATGCCAGAGTCCTGATGTGAGCATCCAGTCGGCTGATTTGGGTCACATTCTCACCCTCCCGCCTATGGACTGGCAGGAGGGTTCCTGCTTGCCGTCTAGTCTGTCACAGATGGGGATTCTACTAAAAAATAGAAAGAGTATATCAGAGCCAACATTAGGAACTGGTCGTACCTCTAAGTGTGCCTCGTGATTTGGATTAGTTCTCTTCCACTGGCCCCAAGGAATATGATCCTTGGGAATGTGATCCAAGGAAATGGGGGTGAGAAAACCTTGGGTAATGACACCAGGTCTGATTTTCTCATATATAAGATACAAACAGCAATGGGTAACCCTAACACCCAGGAGCAGGAATGAATCTAATTATGTAGATACTTCACCCAAACGCAAATGTGACTTTCTCACGCAGACGAAAGTTTCTTTCTTGTGCGGAATTTTCTTTCTGTGGCTGTAGGACCAGCCTTGCTGTATTTTAAATCTAAGAACAGGCAGATCACTCCTTCAAAGGAGAGATAATATCCCATGTTTAAGAGATATTCTTAAGTCTGTAGGCTCATAAAATATACTAAAAAGAAGTATAGAATTTTAATAGATGGGACATTTTTACAAATGAATTTAGAAGCAAAGGTCTAAATTCGGAATAGGTCTTAATGGGTAGATATAACCTGTAGGGTCACCAGGCTTTGCACATCCTCGGTTCTGCAGATTCAGAAACTTTATTTTTGTTTTTTTTCATCTATCCTCATATCATCTATGAACCCATCCAAACATCCATTTGACAAATGTTTAGTGAGCATCTAGTATGTGTCATGCACTGGTTGGTACGGGGGTACAATAGCGAACAGGAGAATCAAGGTTATTACCTTGTGTAGCTTACATGCTGCTGGGGAGACCGTCATAAAGCAAGTATACAAATTAATTTGCAACTTTTCATCTGCAAGAGAGGAAACAAATAAGAAATTGAAGTAGAAAATAAAGGAGGGGTAGAGAAGCTAACCTATTTTAGATAGGGTGGTAGGAATTTGTTCCTGCTTAAAAAAAAAAAAAAAAAAGATTCTCTCCATGTATAGAGGGCCTCGATTAAAACAAATTAAAAAAAAAATCCTACTTTCCAAAAAGCAAGGGTTCTTCATTTTCAATATTCCAGTGACATAGGACAAATGACTTATAAAACATTTAAGTTACACTTGTTCCCTGAAGGCATTTGAATTTTTCATGCTGGACTAGTCTTCTAACCAGGCTGTCCCCTTCCTGAATTAGTAAACAGAAGGTTGCTTGATTGGTTTGGAATTAGAACATAAGCCGGACATTCCTGTACGGCAAATGTTTTTTAAATTTTGAGGCTACTTGTGGTCTGTGAAACCAATTCCTCTATGTTGTTTCTTTTTTGGAGGGTGGGACATAATGTTTTTATTTAAATTAGTTTACTTTAATAAGCCTAAATAAATTTGTGCATCAATTCATTTTGGTTGTATTGTATTCCTATAAAATACATTTATTTTGAAAACTTTGTCACTGCTCTAAATGATGAGACAGTTACAACTAACTGTGAAGATAAGTAGTACAATAAAGAGAAAATAATGCCAGTAAATTCCAGCTGGATACCATTGCTGATGGTGGGCCCTGAGCCCCAAGATTGCTTATTGTCAAAAAAAAAACAAAAGAGTAGCAAGTGTTAGAAAAGTCTTCAGTGCGACGACGTAGAACTGGATTGAGACTTCCTTTTTGAAGTCGTCAGAAAAATGTTAAAAGGAAATTTAAAAAGAGACTCCTGAATGCAGCCTACAGAATGAGATGTGGACAAAAAACAGGAGCTCTGTGGAAAGTAGCCTCAGAGGGTGATCTGATCATAAATTCCTACCTAGGCAGGTCATGGTGGGTAGTCAGGCCACAGATCTTTAACTTCTTTAGTGAAAGGTTTTAAGCCAGCCCTGTCCTTTGTTCTTGTGCGTCTAGGTTAACACACCTTTGAAATATTGTACCAAAAGTATTAACCCTCAAGGGAGCATGTAATCTTAACTATCCTATAATCTGATCCCCTCCCTGCTTTTCTCCCACCTCCACGTAATCTTCCCTCTGTTCCTTCCTTAATTTCATTTCAAATGAATAAAAGAAATCGTAAAACTGTTAGTCCCTGGAGCATTTGGGATTTTGCTCCAACAATTATCTTCAGTTTTGGTTCAAATAAACTCTTATACAAATTCTCTATAGGTTTGGATGTTTCTTCAGGTTGACAGGGAAAAATCTAAATCTTAAAGGAAAAGTAAATGCTAAATGATTCACATCAGCTTTAAATCATTCCTAAAGCACAAGAACATGCACAAAACCACAGCACCAAGGCTGATGGAAAGGGGAAAATTAAATGTTCCTTTACTTCCCTTGGCTGCCTGTAACTCTGTGAATCACTTCTTTAGAAAAACAAAGTTATCCCATTAAAGCACATTGCTAATCTGATAGACAACATGATCCACTTGCTCATGTAACCTTTTCCCCATTTAGGATGAAAATGCCAGCAAGAAAGAATAAGCAAGTGTAATATAATATACATATGTCATTTCCTGTGGTTTTCTTTGTCTTGTCACCCATTACCTTTCAAAATCCTCAAGGGCAGGAGTTTAGCTTTCTCTAGTTCCTTTGCAACTCCTTGAAGTAACCAATGAAATGCCCTGAGGTCAATGTGTGGAGAGATACTGAGTAGTGACGGCCCCAATCTTCAAAACTCATTGGGAGGTGGCAGTGGATCGTGAGGACTCCCACTCAGGTCCTCTTTATTCACCAGGAGCCACCCTAGGAGCACCCGCTGTCCTCTGCAGGAGAGCACTCCAATCAAGCGCAGGGCATTAGAATGCTAACGGGTATTTGGTGGCCGGCACTGAGTAAGCCCTGTGCATCAGCCTAAATTAAAGTGGAAATCTCCAGGATTCTTTCCCCCTTTGGTAAGAAAGTGACTTGATGAAAGAATAGGCAAACCAAGACTGGAGGGCCAAATCCTGCCCTGTCACCTGTTTGTGTATGGCCTTCAAGCTAAGAATAGTTTTAATGAGTTTATATGTGTTATGTGTTGAAGCAATAAAAAAAAATTTTGTGTGTAACATACAAAATTCAGGTATCAGTGTCCGGTGTCAGTTTCATTGGAATACAGTCACAGTCATTGGATATTCTGAAGAGTTGAGTAGCTGTGATGGCAATGGTATAGTCTATGAAGCCAAAAATACTTACTATTTGCTTCTTTCACAGAAAAAGCTTGCTAACACTTGATCTAGGCCATTCGTTTCTACTTTGGCTGCACATTGGAATTATTTGGGAAACTTAAAAAATACCGATGGTTCTGATGGCCTGAACTGAGAGATTCTAATTAATTGGGCTCAAGATTGGGACTTCGCTCTCCCAGTGATTACAATGTGCAGAGAAGTTCAACAGTTGATCTAGACTAGTTTCTCACACTTTAATGTGATTTGAGTCACCTGTGGGCTTGTTACATTGCAGGTTTTAATTTAGTAGTTTTGGGGAGGGCTCTGAGATTCTACACTTTTTTTGTTTTTTTACATTTTGAGAATACATTTATGAAAGCTGGGTGGGGACAGTGAAACAAGGAGGGGTGTAGGACAGAAGGAGCAGCAGGGGAGAGGCCAGGTGGACCGCTTGGGCTCTCTAGATGAGTTATAAGGAAGAAGTAAGCTAAGGCGGGGCTGCTGTTAGCTCACTGGAAAGTCAGAGAGAAGTGGGCCTTGGAGAGAGGTTCAGGGGTTTAGCCTGGGTTGAGCTGCCACTGCCCACTGCTCCCCTGGTTGCAAGCTTTGTGGGTCCCTTAGAGTTTAGGAGATGCACGACGCTAGGGGAAGAAGAGGGGGAAGGGCAAGGCACAGCTGTACTCCTGGGAGGGAGAGAGCAGACTCTGCATTTTTGATAAGCTACCAGGTGGTGCCACGGCTGCTGGTCCAAGTGTATAGTAGGCAGTTAGATAGGCATGAGCAGAGTAGTTACAATAGGCCAGGTGCAGAGGGTGATGAGGGTGGAGAACCCTGGGTGCTTAGCAACGGACAAAACTACAAGCCCTTGCAGGACCATTCCCTTAAGCATTAACCCCTGAAAGACAACATCTGGGCTTCAGTTGCGGTTCAGCTCCAGGCTCAGAGGAGCCGCAAAATCAAATGGGTTGATGCCACGGCTGACATCAGGACCACCTCCACTGACTAATGACCCCCTGGTACCGCCTCATCAGTGGCGATCACGAGGAGGGCTCACATGGAAAACTGACGAATGTTCTGTTGGGATGCTCCCCTGAGACCTCCAGACAAAAGCCCTTGGTATAGGGACCTTGTGAGGCTCTGTTTACAGAGGAAGCCAGAGCCTTTCCCCACCCCCATTCTTTCTCCAGGGCTCTCTCACTCGCAACTTCTTTCCTTCCCTCCCTCCCTCTCTCTCCCCTCCCCCCTTTCCCACCCTAGTGCTAAGAATCTTTCCCTCAAGGCACATTTTCTTTGTTCTTTGTTTCTCTCTTTCTCCTGAGCTCCAACCTCTGTAACTCATTTCCTAAGCCCATCTCTTCTAGGTTCACTTCTTCTACCTCTGATTTTTCTAAATAAATTTTCTCTTACAGTTTGAGTTTTGGCTCTGATTTTTTTCTTAGCCAGAACTCGAGTACTGAGGTTGAGGAACTGAGGTTTTTGATGCCTGGTAACAGTTTTCCACAGCTAACACAAGGACCACACTTTGAGTAACAAGAATTTATCTTAGCCTCTCCCAGAAAGAAGGGGAAACAAACCTTTCTGTATGTCTTTTCTCTTCAAGATAGGTAAAAAGATGCTACACAACACATGTGGTTTATATTGCAGATTTCTTAAGTAACCTCAGTGGACTGGAAATCCACCCTGTGCGCTGAAAGGGATTTTGATCCTTTCCCAGAAAACAAATGGCTTTGAATACCTGCCTTCACGTCAATTCATTAAGACTTCCCATTTTCACTGGAGCAATGAAAGAATAATTACAGCTTTCTCCTTTCGCCCTCCCATTCCTCAGAGAAAGTTTTTGAGGCGTGTGTATAAAGAAATCCTCTGTTGGTTAACGGCCTTGAAATTGTGTGTGGATTAACAATTAATTCAAGTCCAGTGACTGGGGGAACAACTTCCCTGATTGGCTATGGTTGAACTTCAGGAATTAACTAGGAGGAATAGAATGTCCTTTGGGGCATGGAATGCTCTGGTATCTAAATCAGCCTGAGTCATTTGAAACCACCCTTTTGGGTAAAATTGAAGAAGGTAAATTGAAAATCCTATGAAGATGTTTCTCCCTAACTTCTCCACCCTTTGCTATGAAAAGAATTAACAGTGTGGAATTTCAGAATCTCTTTCCCTTATTTTATAGTTAAACATTTTTGATTGTTTATCACCCTTAACCTATTTATTATTGGGATCTGCTTAATCTTCTGAGATATAAATATGCATGAATCAGTTGGTTAGAGTGTTGTCCAGATTTGCCAAGGTTGCTGATTCAGCACATATGAGAAGAAACCAATGAATGCATAAATAAGTGGGACAACAAATTGATTTTTCTCTCTCTCCCTCCCTCTCTCTCTAGAATCAATGAAAAAAAAAATGCATGGAACTTAAATATGTTAAAATCATAGTGATGACTTCTATGGAAAAAAAGTCTAATTTCCTATTTCTTTGCTGCTGAAGTGAAAAGCTATCTGAGGGAAATTATCTACCTGTAGCCCCAATTTGCAAAGGAAAAATGTCTCCTTTCTCTAAAAGTAGGGGGTCTGCCTTTGAGATGCTTGTGAACTGGCAGCAACTGAAACTTTGAAGGCTCAACTCTAAATGTCACCTGCAAGTGAAAGCCCATGCAGAATCGAGACCCAGGATGCCATAGAACTGGTAGTTAATGGGGTCTGAGGAGGGTGGTGGCTTTTAAGGGGTAAGAAACCTCAGCTGCAAATGCCCCTTGGGTAGCCCACATCCAATCAGGTGTCAGCCTCTTTATACACACCTGCACCCCTCCTCCCTTCTATACCCCATTCACTGCTTTTAGAATTTCTTTAATCAGATGAAGCAAAATGACAGTGAAGAGTTTAAACATTTTTCTATATAGTTTTATCGAGATATACTTTACATAACATAAAATTCAGCCATTTAGAATGTGCCACCCAGTGCCATTTAGTACATTTACACAGTTGTGTGACTGTGCCACTGTCTCATTTTAGAATACTCTTTCATCACCTCCAAAACAACCCCTGTGTCTCCTAGGAGTCATTTCCCATTTCCCTCCTCTCTCAGGCCTCTGGCAACCACTAATTTACTTTCTGCGTTTATGTATTTGAGGAAGAAGATTTTTGTAGACGGCATCTTAGATACCGGTTTCAAAATGTGGGGCCATCACCTGGCTCTTTTACGCCTTCACTTCTCTGGGCCTCAGTTTCCTCAGCTGCCAGATGGGTGGTCCTCAGTCTTGGCCGCACGTTAGTTTCAGTTGGGGAGCTTTGAGAAAATGTTGATGCTCAGGCCCCACCTTTAGAGATTTTAATTCACTAGATCTGGGGCAGGGCTTAGGCACTGGAAATTTTTAAAAGCTCTGGAAGGCAGGCTTGCTCCAAGTCCTTGCTATCAAAATGTGGTCCTGGGGCCAGTTGGGAGCTTGTTCGAAATGTGGGCTTCCAGGCTCCTCCGCAGTCCCACTGAATCAGCATCTGGGCAGGAACAAGACCCCAGGTGACTCGTGTGCACATTAAAGTTTGGAAAGCCCTTCTCCAACGTCCCCTCCAGCTCTCACAGTCTGTAGTTTTGTGATTTCTGTTCCTGCCTCCATGGCTACCAGGTGGTTTTAGTAATCAGTTCCCATAAGCCAGAGCTTGCCCCGCTCTAGAAAATTGGCTTTCAGTTTGCTCGCTGAACAGGATATGGGAATGTGCCATTGGCAAAGTGTTCCATGAAGTTTGTTCAGTGATAGTTAATTACACAGTAATTTGGAAGAACATCAAGTCATTTTAGACTTGCTTTATCTACTGTCCAGAAACAGGGGGAAAAAAACTGGCATTTAGGTCTCAACCTGTGAAAAGGCACACAAATCACTTTGACCAGCTTAAAACTTGTTCTGCTCCCTTAAAGCAGATTTGTGATTACAATCCTTGAGTTATTTTACAGAAACTGCACTGCGCATGTGCCAACCCTGTTATCAAGCTGCCTTAGGAAACAAAGTCTCACCTCTTCCCACAGAACCAATGGATCAGGGCATGACCAGAACCTGAACACTGGAACCCTTTCAGAAATGAAGGGCAGGTTGTCCAGGACGATCTGGTGCTAAGGCCCCTTACCGTTTATGGCCACGTTCCAAGGCCCTACAATTAAATTCGCCCTGCCAGCTTTTCCTCATACCTGTTCCCTGGAACTCCTTAAAAACCCTCCTGTTGTCAACCAATTGGGGGAATTCAAGAAATAGCTTCCCCATTCTCCTTGCATGGCGCTAGCAGTAAAGCGACTCATTTCTCTGCTGCAATTCTTGGTGTTTGGTTCGGCTGTGTGCTGAGAGCGACGGACTCTTTTTCTGTTTGGTTACACCTGTAGCCAATTTTAAAAGTATTCTGTACTTGGAAAAATCACAGGTCAGGCTGGTATTTCCATTTAAAGCAATATAAGCAGAGCTTCTCAGCCACCATGGACCATTGGAATCACCTGGGCAACTTTCACTCCTGGAAGAAAACCTAGGCAGTAAAATCTCTGACATTTCTCTTAGCAATATTTTTTCTAACATATCTCCTTGGGCAAAAGAAACAAAAGAAAAAATGAACACATGGGACTGCATCAAACAACAAATTGTTTTCACAGCAAAGAAAGCCATCAATAAAACGCAAAGACAACCTACTAAATGGGAGATGCATTCGATAAGGGGTTAATATCCAAAATTTATAAAGAACTCAGTACTCAACAGCAAAAACCAAAACCAAAACCAAAATGAAAACCAAAAAACCAACAAAAAATGGGCAGAGGACCTGAATAAGCACATCTCCAAGAAGGACATACAGATGGTCAACAGACATATGAGAAGATGCTCTATGTCACTAATCATCAGAGAAATGCAAAGTAAAACCACAATGAAATATTACCTCACATCTGTCAGAATGTCTATCACCAATAAATCAACAAATAACCAGTGCTTTCCAGGATGTGGAGAAAGAGGAACTCTTGTGCACTATTTGTAGGATTGTAAGTTGGTGCATCCACTATGGAAAACAGTATGGAGTTTCTTCAAAAACTTAAAAATATAACTGCCTTATGACTCAGTGATTCCACTTCTGGGTATTTATCTGAAGAAACCCAAAACACTAATTTTAAAGAATATGTGCACCCGTATGTTCATTGCAGCGTTATTCACAATAGACAAGATATGGAAGCAACGCAAGTGCCCGTCAATAGACGAGTGGATAAAAAAAGCGCTGATACATATGTACAATGGAATACTGCTTGGCTCTAAAAGTGAATGAACTCTTAATATTTGCAACAGCATGGGTGGATTTAGAGAGTATTATGCTCAGTTAAATAAGTCAGAGAAAGGCAAATACCATATGATTTTACTTATATGTGGAATCTAAAGAACACAATTAGTGAACAAACAAAATTGAAACAGTTATAGAGAGCAGACTGGTGGTTGAGGAGGGGAGGAGCTTTGGGGACTAGGTGAAAAATGTGAAGGGACTGAGAAGTACAAATTGGCAGTTACAAAAGAGTCACAGGGATGTAGACTACAGCATAGGGAACATAGTCAATAATATTGCGATAGCTGTGTATGGTGCCAGGTGAGTACTGGAAATGTTGGAGAGGAGGGAGCACTTTGTAAAGTATATAAATGTCTTATCACTATGCTGTACACTTGAAACCAATACAAAATAATATTGAATGTAAGCTGTAATTGAAAAATAAAAAAATTAAAAAGAATCACCTGGGGATATTTTAAAACCCCGGGCATCCAGAACACCGATCGAGACCAACTAAGTCAGAATTGGGTAGTTTTTAAAGATCCTCAGGTGACTATAATATCAGTCAATGTTGAGAAGCACTGGTATAGAGGTTTTAACTATCGTTATACTGCCTGGGATGTACCGAAAACTTTGGTTTTGTACCTTGGTAAGGTCTAAGGCTGTGTTTTCAATGCATTATCCTTGATCTTTTCAGTAACAGTGTGCTGGACATCTTCGTGTCTCAAGCCCACCAGCAGGATTTGAGAGAAGGAGCCTACAATGAAGGAAGCCTAGACAGACCCTTGGAGAAGGCATGTACCTTAACCCCTTGCCTGACCATGAGCAGGACAATGGCAGCCCTCGCGCTTTGTATCCTTTCTCTGGGGTTCCACATGCCCCAGCAAGTCTGCACTGACACTCCCCCTCCCTGCCTGTTGATTTCACAAAGCAGGTCATTGGATATGCAGGCTTGACTCTTTCTCTTGTCCTCAGATCCATGACGATGGCACTAAAAAGTTAACCAATCAACAGATATGTACTGAAAATTGTGCCCATGCCCAAAGGGAGGAGCTGGAGGAAAAAGCATCTAGGATCTGACCAATGAGCTAAAGCTAATCAGGACAGTTAGCACACAGTGGATGATAGAATACAGTTGAGGGGTAAGTTGGTGGTAAAATCAACACGGACTGCAGCAATTCGAAGGAAGAGACACCTGTGCCCACTGGACTAGGACAGAGAAGCTGCGCAGCAGAGATGGCTCATGGGAGTGGGGAGTAGGGGAGAGGGGTGCGGAGGGTGTTCTTATGACGGTTTATGACACACAATACTGTTTGACACATTTACTTTGAGCCAGGCATTGTACTAAATGATTTGCAATATACTGTCTTATTTACTCTTCTCAACAACACATGGGTAGACCTATAATTGTCCCCATTCTGTAAATGATGAGACTGAAGCACGAAGAAGTTAAATAACTTGCTCAAGTTCATCTTGAACCTGGTCTAAATGACTCCCAAGTCCATGTACTTCACCATACTATACTGCATACGCACATAACACTGAATAGTGTGTGCCAGGAGGCAGGTTTCTAACATTTTACATATATCATCTCATTTAATCCTCAAGACAATCCTTTCTGGTAGAGAACACCATTCCTACTGTTCTCAAGTTCTTGGTAAGGAAACTTGGACACAGAAATTAAGTAACTTGCCTATCTAAAGTTGCCAGATTAAATACAGGCACCCAGTCAAATGTGATAAATAACTAATAGATTAGTATAAATATTGCAGATAAATTAAAAATTATTTACCATTTATCTGATGAATTTAAGTAGGTGTCCTGTTTGCATTTATTCAGTTTTGCTAAATCTGGTAGGCCTACTGAGGTCACCATGCTGGCAGGTGATAAAGCAAGGTTTGAACTGGGCGGTCAGGCTTGGGCCCACACTGTTAACCACAGCATTCCAGTGTTGCTGGAGACGTGGGCTGGCATTCATACGAGCATGTTTGGGAAGAAGTGAGCAGACTTGCTTTCTTGGCTCCGAGGTTAGACGGAGGGGGAGTGAGAAGCTGCAGTGGACTCTTCCACCCTTGCTCAGCTCACCTCCCTGCTCTCCTGCTGCTGCTGTTGCTGCTGCTATCCCCACCTGCTGGTGGTACGAGAGCTGAAGGAACTGGCTAATGCTGTCCCAGCCTGTGGGAGCAAATGCTTAGTTCTGATACCCAGATACAGAAGGAAAAGACAAACAGGAAAAAATGAAAGCACGTGAGAGAAAGTTGGTATGGGACTCGGCAAACATTGTCACACTCACACGTCCCATTATAAAGCGCAGGCCCACCCATGGCGGGTAAATGCATCACAAACCTGTGACAAAACCACCGAGGCTCCAGTTACCTGACCATGTTATGGACCCCTACTGGCCAGGGTACTAGAACTCTGTGGGTGCTGTCTCACCAGTCAGCTGACATGTACCCGTCGCCTCCGTTCTGGGGCAGGTGGCCAGAAGTGTTGCTTAGGCTCGGAGGCCTGAGAAAGTGTGCGTCTCCAGGGTAGATGTGGAGTTCAGGTCCAACACTTAGTGCCAAGGAAATCTGGCTCAGCTTCCTGAGCGGCAGGGGCGCTGCAGCTGCAGAAACAAACTTTCCTGGAGTTAAAGGGGGTGAGCACTTGTATAACTGAATGTCAAGCAAATATAGAACCAATCTGAGGACTTAATGGGACCAGTGTGATACTCAGGAAGAGGCAATAAGAATGAGCAATAAGAAGATAAGCAGAAGGAGATAAGCTACTCCCAGTTGTGGAGGAACAGGGATTCATAAAAGAATTCACTGTAAATAAAAATATACACATGCACATTTATGTTTGAGAAAGACAAGAGCTATGTTGTATAGTTTATATTTAGTAGTGCTTTTTAAATTATTTTTACTATTTCCTTTTGTTGTTTTCAGGAGACCTGAGTTAAAGAACCCACTGAGGTAGAAAATATATGAATAGGACTCAAATGGCTGAGCTGTGGTCCAAAGATATTAAGCACTGGCAGTTTAGATCTCTTTCCGAGACCATTTTGAAAGTTTACGAACCAGTCGCCCTGCTCTCAGCCTCCCTGTCCTCCGATTATTCCTCCACACTGCCACTGGAGTTATTCCTCTAAAACCTCAATGGTTCAGATCACTATCAATTGCGTAAAAGAGAAAATTGCAAAAATTCAACGCCTTTTGCAATCTCTTCCCAAACTGTTTGCCAAATTCTTCTTTCATGTTCTGCTTCTCCCAGCAGAAGGATATCTGTCTTCTCTTTGTGGATTACCTGGTGCAGACCAAGCACTCTGCTCCATTCCTTCCGACTTCCAGCCCCAGTCTCACTCTGCAGGGCAAGAACCCCGCAATCACCAAACGTTTTCAGACCACCATGCCTTTGCACATGCTGTTCCTTTCACCTGGTCCCCCCAGTGGTGTGCTGGAGCAGGCTCTTTCTAGCTCACGCACATCTAGTCCCAACTCTGTTCAGTGACATCACGTTGATAGCTTGAAATCTGCCACAGTAGGAGAATTTACGCCATGGAAATGAACAAATCCTGCACATCAGGGCTTTTTCTACCTCCTGCAATGCTGGTTGTTAAACATTCACCAGCACATCACTGTCGCCTCCCACTCTTTGCCTGGAAGGTTCCTACGCATCCTCCAAAACAGAGTGCTTCTCTGTGAAGCTTTCTTTGACTCCCACAGAAGAACAGGGAGAAGAAAGCAACTCCTCTGCGCTAAGTCTCTGAGCTGCGTACTTTACACACATAATTCTCATGCTTCCAGTGAAGCGGTCCTATCATGTGTTTGTGATTGTCTCCCTGGTAAGTGCTAAGAGCAAGGACTGTAATCTATATTGATCTTTAAAACCCCAGGGACCTTCAAAGTGTTGTTTATAAATGGTGGGTTCTTAGCGAATGCAAAGAATTTAATTAAGTAAAACTGGGAGGAAAAAACATTGCTTTGTTTCACCTGTCTCCTTTCTTCCAGAGAGCAATCCCTCTCATCATAGCAGAGCTGAAAATTTTACCAAGGTTTTCTGTTGGGTACTTTAAAACTCTATAATAAACACATTTATGCAAGGCGTCGCCAGTGTAACACTGGAGGCATATTAATAGATGTAGGAGGGACTTTAGGGACTTGTTTATAAAGATGGAAATTTGAGGCCTGTGGGGGGTAGGTGGGGAAGGCATTGTTGGTTAGAGGGGCCTTTTAGTGACCACTCTTGTTAAACTTGTGAGGGCAGAGGTGGGGCTTAGCATCGTACCTGGCCTGAAATATGGTCTTTATATAGTAGCTATCACCACTACCACCTCCTCCACCACCTCCATAGTTTTCTTTTCCTTTCCCATCATCATCATCATCGTGATTATCATTGTCAACATCATAGGATACTAGTAATGAACAGGATTAGGCAAAGCTAAGAAACCAACTGACTTGAAGCTGTGTTTGAAAGCCTGTCATTTTCCTTGTTTCACCTACCCACTTTTCCTTAAATTTACTGAAGAATCAAAACATTGCCAAAAAAGCTGTTTTCTGTGGCTGTTGCTATGCTTTGTAAATATGACCCATCCACCCTCACCTCCTAGTCAGAGAGGCAGACAGTAAAAATTACTTTAACCTCAATTGATTAGATGCTGTGAAATGACTGGCTGCAAGGACCTTCCATGTAATTTATTCAAGTCAACTTAACCAAAATCTAGGATGTAGGTAAAAAAATCATGTCCCGCTCATCCTTAAAAAACAGTCTATGCAGAAGCAACAGTAAAGTCTGCCTGCTGTATTCTGATTTTACTGCTGCAGTAATAAGTATTTTGCAGCAGCAGTAAAGTATTTTGATCTTATTGCTTATTGGCCTTTGGAGAAAGGCCAGAGAGTTACATCAATAAAGTCACAGTAAAGATCATTGTAGGCTACAGAAGGGGCTTCATGGAAGAGAGGAGACCTGGAGCAGAGGCAGGAATGGATTATAAAGAATGTCCTGAGGGAAGAAAGTAACTGGGGTAAGTGTTTAGAGCAGCACTTCCTGCTCTGTGTTCTGCAGAACGGCATTTGGCACAAAGCCTTTGAAGAGCAAAGAGGTTTGGGAAATACTGCATATCCTCGTCTTGGCTGAGGTCTAAGGTTAGACTATTTTGTGCTCTGAGAACACCTGAAGCAAATAATCCTAATTAGCTTTATTTAATTTAAGTTTTCCAAATGTGCTAGTTCATAGAATCTGCTTTCGGGGAATATATATCTTTCAGAATGTTCATGTTCCTTGGAAACTTGTGGGAAGTACTAACGTACAGGATGCAGTTTCTGAAACTATTATTTATTTGCACTTTTTTTTTTTTTTTGAGGTCTTAAAAAATTCATCTCCTCGGTTCACACTACCATATGATCACATTTTCAGCAGGGCCTCTCTTGTTTGATTTTTTTTTCCCCCTTCCTCCCTACCCCCTGCTCCTCACCTTAAGTACCCACTTTCATGTGTGCATTATATCTTTTTAAATATACCCTTATCTTAGGCTCTAGCTGTGTAGCTCAGTTGGTTAGAGTGTCATCTGATATGCCAAGGTTGTGGGTTCAACCTCCAGTCAAGGAACATACAAGAATCAACCAATGGATATATAAATAAGTGGAACAATGAGTTGATGTTATTTTTTTCTCTTCCTCTACAAATCAATTAAAAATATATACACTTATTTTATAAAATAAATCATATTGTTTTATGTGTATGTGCTATAATTTTTTCTTAATATTTTGTCCTTATCCAGCACTATGTTTTAAAGAGCTAAGATTCTTGTTTATTCGTCTCACTTGTTTTTCTCTGCTGCACAAGATGCCACAGTGTGCAGTCCACCCACTTTACTCATCCATTCCTCCACTAATGGACACCAAGTTTGATGGCATCAGGGGTCTTGAGATGAGAACAGAGAATAGGGATATCTACTAGGTAAATCTAGATAAATAGTTTGAGCAGCTTTCTCTATTAAGTCAATAAATAACCTAGGCAATTAAGCAGCTGACCTGATCAAGTCCTAGTAAGGAAGAAGAGTAAATTTCAGAAGAAGAAGCCCTCGTGCCCTCTGGTGTGGCTCAGTGGGTTGAGTGCTTGTTTGATTCCCAGACAGGGCACATGCCTGGGTTGCAGGCCAGATCCCCAGCTGGGGGTATGCAAGAGGCAACCGATTGATGTATCTGTCACACATAGATGTTTTTCTCTCTCTTTCTCCTTCTCTTCTCCTCTCTCTAAAAAAATATATAAATTATTTAAAAAAAATAAGAAGCAGTAGCCTTCAGATAATTTGCTAGAACAGGGACTGAAAGTCATTTGGCTTAGATTGTCCAAATCCGCGATCCAAAATTGTCAACATTTTGCAATTTTCAAGATTGTGCCCTTGACCTTAAATATGACTGTTGAAAATAAAGCACTCTTAAAAATGCAGGAAGGAAAAGAAATTGTCCATTATAGACCTATGGCGAGTGAGCTTGAGCTGGGGTTTGAGCAGCCTGCCCACCTGAGCAGGTCAGGGAAGCAGGGGGATCAATTTCAGGTCCTGAAGAGATTCATGCGAAGCTCATGGTGAGACACGTTGACCTTTACCCGATTATCCACTAGCCGGGACCGTGCACTTCCTGTTTAGTGCACTAAATAGGTATTTAGTATTAGCAATCCTAATACTAAATTAATTCAGTAGTAACTGAAATCTTAATTCAGGTAGTAACTGTGAAAGAGATCATAGTAATTTGGGGGAATTAAGAGGAACGCTACTTCAGAGGAAGTTTCTAATGGTGTTGAACGGGAAGTTCAAGAACTTCTGAGGAATAGATGAAATTTTTCCAAGTAATTAAAATACCTGGCATTTGTTCTCAGTTTGGAAGCTTTCTACTTCCTTCAACAAGTGAGTGATTGTGAAACCCCTCTCAATACTCCACTGAAGTGCAGAAGAGCAGCGAGAAAGCAGAGCTTCCAGGAAAAGGGGCTGGTGGGACACTGAAAATATATATTGAAAAAGAAGTTTCTTAAATTCCAACATTATGTGGTTTTCTGCCATAACCAATATTCATGAATGTTATTGACAAAATCATGGCTGAACTTAGAGAATGAACTTATGCATATACAAATGGAGAAACTTAGAATTTTCTGTCCTTGGGATTAATTACCACCAACAGCACAAACTCCTGAGGAGAGTGAGACAGAAGTTTACTGAACAACAGAAAAAAAAATTAACTGGGTTAAACTACATAGAGAGACTTCTGGATGAGACTATCTAAGGATTTTTACCAATTCACTATAGAGGAAGGCTGGGTTTATATAAAAAAAACCTTGTATATTATTTGTAGTGTTGCTTTCTGCCCTTAGCTCAGTAGCTCAGTGCCTAGAAAGTAGGAAACACTCAAAAATATTCTCAGAATGAATATATGCATACATATAAGTAGCTTAAGTTAACTGGTGGCTATTATAGAGAGTTCACTATTTGTTAATTCATTTATATTGAAGACTATTTCTTTAGAATGGTTTTAGGTTTACAGAAAAATTGAGGACAAAAGACAGAGATTTCCTGTATACCTCATTTCCTCATACACGTATAACCTCTCCCATTACCAACATCCCCCCCAGAATTGAACATCTGTAACAACTAGTGAACCTACGCTGATGTGCTATAGTCACTTAAAGTCCATAGTTTATCTTAGGGTTCACTCTTGGTATTGTACATTCTACAGGTTAGGATGAATGTATAATAATGTGTATCCATCATTATGGTACAATCAGTGTGATATCCTAAATGACATATTTTCACTACTCTAAAAATCTTCTTTGCTCTTCTTATTTATCCTTCCCCACCTGGAAACCACTGATCTTTTTACTGTCTCCATAATTTTGCCTTTTCCAGAATGCCATATAGTAGAAGCATACAGTATGTAGCCTTTTCAGATTGGCTTCTTTCACTTGGTGTTAAAAATATGCATTCAAATTTCCATATCTTTTTGTGACTTGTAGCTTATTTGTTTAGTGCTGAATAATATTCCATTGTCTGGATGGACCACAGCTTATTATCTATTCGCCTGCTGAAGGGCATCATGTTTACTTTCAAGTTTTGGCAATTATGAATGAAGCTGCTATAAATATCCACATGCAGGTTTTTGTGTGGAACGTACACTTTCAACTCTTTTGCCTAAGAACCAAGGAAAGCAGTTGCTGGATCATATGGTTAGAGTATGTCTAATTAATAAGAAATTGCCATAGTGACTTCAAAAGTAGCTGTACCAAGTTCCTTTTATGACATACATTTATGAAGCTGTAAGTCAGAGAGCCCCTTTAGATACCTGGCATGTGAATCACACCTAAGAACTGTAGTCAACACTAACGGCCACAGTGGAGTGGCCAGGTGAGCAGCCAACTTACAAAAGAGGGCCTTAAGGAGGCTTACTTTTGGTGGCATCACTTGCCTGTAGAGGAAATAAAACACCAAATGGTGGATCTAATACCAATATTTGATTAGATTTATTTGTGTCTCTAAATCACAGGAAAAAACACCCCTC